CGTTTGAGCCCAGGAGTTGGAGGTTGCTGTGAGCTGTAATGCCATGGCACTCTACCCAGGGGGACAGCTTGAGGCTCTGTCTCAAAAAAAATAAAATAAAATAAAATGAAAATGGAGGAAAACAAAAGCTTATCACATTAAAGAAACACTGTCATCATGCAAAGACTTGGAACAGACAGAAACTGTGGGGCCTCCAACTTTGACAACGTCTCTTTTAAGTTGAAATGTGAGTTATGTAAAGCAAGTCCGGGGATTCATTCCGTCAGAAATTTCTATAGTGAGTATTTCCACTGACTTCTGATACGGGATCTTTGATTCTCTATAGCAAAGTTTGTAACTTCCAGCAGATGCAATACCCCTTAACATGAATCTTATGTCAAACCCTCACGGAGATGATAATTAGTAACTGTATTCTCAGGTCTTCACCACTGTAATTATGAGCCATATCCTGCTTTCTCCACTATGCTATACATGGTATGTGGGTTAACACAGCCGTCAAATTTAGCCTTTTAAACTCACATTCAAAACAGGGGAAAGGGGTTCCACTCAGGGTACCAGGAAACAAGCTAAATAACACCACAAGGGAGCAAATAAATCCAGAAGGTAGAATACTCTTCAGCACAACTGACTCAATTTTGACAATATATCAATTACATGGAGAAAGGCGGGGAAGGGTGGGGAGCTTGCTCTAGATTCAGAAAGATTAAAGAGACACAACAACCAGGAGTAATGAGTAGAGTTCATATGAGTCCTGATTAGAACCATACTACTATCCAAAGACATTCTTGACCTTTGGGGCAATTTGATTTTGCCTGAGTATTAATAGGTGGTAAAAAATCATCATTTATTTTGTTAGGTATGACAATGGCATTGTGGTTTATACTAGAAAATGACCTTACTTTCTAGAGATACTTACAGGAAGCTACAAGATATGCTATCTGGATTTGCTTTCAAATAGTAATACTTTAGCAAAGTAATGCGCCACCACAATGCCCAGCTATTTTTTGGTTGTAGTTGTCATTGTTGTTTGGCTGGATTCGAACCTGCTAGCTCTGGTGTATGTGGCTGGAGCTTTACCCACTTGAGCTACAGGCATCGAGCCAGAACTAAACACTTGTGATGATAAAAATCTATACAAGCTCCAAGTTCATAATACATGCATATAGCAAAAAACTTTATAAAAACATAGCTTTGCCTTTTTATTTGAAAAAATTCTAAGGAACAGAAGTTCTAATGTTAAGCTCTGGATCATCCAGCACCCATCAAGCCTCAGTGATTCTTCCTTTCCTGCACACTCCAGCCCAGAGGGAAATAACCATAGCTGCCTCTCCCTGGCCAATAGTAACAGCCAAGAACTGCCTTCAGAGAGCTCAGCCTCCTTAACATATGATTTCTCACGTTTGGGATGGGGGAAGAGTTGGGGACCAGAAGGTTGGCTTGCTATAATAGAGTGATTTTTCTGGCTTCTAAAGTGAGGTGGTTTACAAAGATGATCCCTGTTAAATCTCACTACCACGATGCTTCAGGGAAGAACATATGCCCCTTGGAAAGACATATTTGCTCTTTTATTTATTTATTTATTTTAAGAGATATTATCATTCTGTGCCCTGGGTAGAGTACCATGGCATCATAGCTCACAACAACCTCAATTTCTTGGGTTCAACCAATCCTCTTGCCTCAACGTCCTGAGTAGCTAGGACTACAGGCAGCAGCCACAACTGGCTATTTTTTCTATTTTTAGTAGAGACAGGGTCTCGCTCTTGCTCAGGCTGGTCTTGAACTCCTAAGCTCAGGCTAGTCACCTTCCTGGGCCTCCCAGAGTGGTAGGATTACAGGTGTGAGCCACCGCACCCGGCCATGTTTGTTCTTTTAATCTGTATCATAGTCTCATTAGTAAGTACATTCCTGAGTTCCTTCAAAGAACATTGTTATTGCGATATTTAAATAATAGATTACTTGATATTCCTCTTTATGCTGTTGGTATCATATGGAGCAAGTAAAGTTCATTACTGGGTAATACCCAAGTAGCTTCTCACTTCAGTGGCTGTATACCCTCTGTATAGGAGTTATAACACGTGAGTGATGAAAAGAAGTGACACTTTAGTTCCTCCTTAACTCAGTAAGTCAGACAATGACTAGAAATCAGCCAGGGATGGTGGCTTATGCCTATAATCTTAGCACTCTGGGAGGCTGAAGCAGGAGGAATATTCAAACTTAGGACCAGCCTGAGCAAGAGCAAGACCCGGTCTCTACTAAAAATACAAAAATTAGCCAGGCATTTATGGCAGGTGCCTGTAGTCCCAGCTATTTGAGAGGCTAAGGCAGGAGGATCGCTTGAGCCCAGGAGTTTGAGGTTGCTCTCACCTATGATGACACTACTGCACTCTACTCAGAGTGACACAGAGAGACTGTCTCAAAAAACTCTAAAATAAAATAATAACCTAGCAAGTTGGTTACTATAATAGTGAATGCTTGTGTTGCCATATTTTCCTGGACACCATCAATGAGACACTTATCCTCTTCCTTCAACTCCTGTCAGAGAAGTAAAGAGAAAATATACCAAGACAGTGTACCTAATTTTTATGACTTTTATAATCTAATAACTTACGTGTTAAGAGCAGCTAAAATCTAAATCAACTTGAATTTCGTAAGAATTGTTATATTTAATATAAAATTAAAACCCATTATCTGCAGAGTTCATAATTCTAAAACATGTGAATACTGCCCTGACTCAATTTTTGGTCTTTGAGAATGCCATTTCCCTTTCTGATATTACTAATACAATTACCTGAGTTGGTTTATCTTATGCATATGATTAAATATATTGAAAAGCACCTCAGGCTCAAGTTCAAATCATTTTGTATTTAAGCACTGATTTTACAATCTGTAGCATATAAAAGTGAATGAACTAAATTTACAATCTAATCCAACCAAATTGCCTTCACAATACATTGCAGCTAAGATGTGTCTAAGATTTTACATGCATTTTGAGAGAAATCACATAGAAGCAGCTGCCTTTTCAATAAACTTGGCCAACTTCACATCTCTTTTGGTCAGTCCACCACAGTCATGCGAGGTGAGAGTTATCTGGACCTAAGAAAAGAGAAAGCAAGTTTTAAAACCCAGAGAAAGTCATGGTATTCTCCTTTGGTGGTTCAGAAATCAGCCTATTATTTAACATTCTTATTTGAGAATTGGGGGGATTAAATGATTTAGAAAATACTACATTATGAATAAGCAAAGCATTTCCAAAACCCAGCAATCTCCAGGCACATTGTCTATGCACACCAGCCACTCAGGGATAAAAAGCTTCTCTCATACGAAAGAGGCAATTCAGCTGCCAGAATCTCAAATCTTGTTTCTTGGGAAAAAAAAAAAAAAAAAGAAAAGAGAAAGAGACTGAGGTTCCATTTGAACTCCCATTACTTTAATTACACTGACTATTTTCAGACCACTGAGAAAAACCAAGCTATCAAATGTAATATCTTAGCAGCAATGTTAAAAAAGCACATTTCCAAATTAGGGAAACAGGGGAGAAGGTGAGGAATGGACTATTGCTTCTTGACAAATTGATTAAAAAGCAAAAGCAAAATTATGGGCTAAGAGAGGTAACTAGGAAAGAAAACTTTATCCTGGTAGCAGTGTGCTTTGAATTACTGCAATAAATCACAAGAATATCATGAAACTCTTTTTTCAAAGAGGGCGTCCAATGAGAAAATAAAACGTCACAGAAATCTAGATGATAAGATATTCCATATGGCATGACCATAAAGACAAGGACTCTTTTAGAGGGACACTTCTCACTGGGCACCCTTAAAACTTTTTAGTCTGCCCTTTGTCTTAAGTAAGATCAGTTCCCATCAAGGAAACAGAATTTTATAAACACTTTATTAAAAGCACAGTTTTTGAGCAAATTTCGTTCAATAAGGCCTAATATATCTTACTTGCTGCCATTTCTTTCAATAATTTAACTTAAATTTAAAAACGTAACTGCATGGTTGCCTGATTTTATCCAACATTCTCATATTAATTTTAGTAGAAGTATGAAAAATAAAGAGCTTATTTACTGTTCTTATGAGCAGACCTGAAAATGTGTTACTAATTTGCAGCAAAACACAGGGATTCTGAAAGAAAGGATAAGAGAATACTTTCTTAAGCACATTGACACTTAGCTGTACAACATGACAAAGAAAAAAGAAGTTTTTTAAACTCCATAATTTAGGTGATCCCAAAAGAAGACCATTTCATTACCTTGTTGTACACATTGAACCATTCTGGGTGATGATTCATCTTCTCTGCTTGTAGGGCAACTCGGGACATAAAGCCAAATGCCTGTTATAAGATGAAATCAAGAGAAATTACTGACACTGTCCTCCAACCCTATGCCTGAGAGAGACACCAGAGCAATCCAACCAGATAAAGACATGCAAGAATCCCTGGGGAAGCCTGGAGAAATCACATGGGGAAGGACTGCTCTCTGCAGGCCTCGAGTAACTAGAGCAGGACTGTGACCTGCTGCTGGATGGCAAAACACAATCGGGCTCAAATAAACAAACCAGGAAATTGGTCTCACCCAATGACCTGTCTGGACAGTTTAATTATCCTCAGGACAAGACTCTCCAAAATAGCATGGGAATAATTTCCCTTCAACCCAGTGCCCTGGGTCTCACTTACCTGGCCTTAAATCTTAGGGGCCACTTTCTTTTCAGCCCTGTTCCTTTTGTTTTTAGTGACTGGGTTGCTAACTAATGCAACAACCACAAGCCTATGGTCTACTAAGAGTATCTCAAACAAAATCACTAGCAGAAATGAACACTTCCTCCTCCCCCTCTCAGGCCAGACAGGAGTGAATGAAAGACTACTGGCATCTAGGCTTGCCTGTGTGGGTCTTCTAGCTACCGCCCCTGAGGTGACAGTGCACCTACCTCAGGGCAGAAGGCACGGCACCTAGTTTATGCCATCTTGTTAACAGCTTAAGAATTCTACTCCGAAGAATTGAAAACAGGTACTCAAACAAGTACACATACAGAGTGTTCATAGCAGCACTATTCATAATAGCCAGAAAGTGGAAACAGCCCAGACATCCACTGATGGAGGAATGGATAAACCAAGCATGCTATATCCATACTATAGACTCATCCACTGCACTTGGTGCCCACAGAGGCTAGAGCCACTGCACTTCACCCCCTCAGGGGGTAAAGCCACCTCATCCTCAGGGTACTAGAGCCACCGGGAAAGGAGCAGAGCACTGCAACCCTGCCCCAGGCCTCGGTGTGGACCTGTGGGGGCTCTGTCTTTACACCACAGGAAAAGGGAAAACATAATGTAATTAACCAAGGGCAAACTCGTCTTGAGAAGAAAAATAACTTTTTTTGTTTGCTTTCAATTTTTTATGAGGGTAATTGCAAACAATAAGAGAATCTGTCTATGTGGTGTGCAGAAGGCAGAAATACTTGGCAAGATTATAAAGTAATGGCACATTAATTAGAAAGTTACACTGGAATTCACAGGGCAGTACCCATTACACCCACATAAATAAATGTTTAACTTCATTCCTCTAACCAGAAAAACCAATATGATGGGCTCAGCGCCTGTGGCTCAAGCGGCTAAGGCACCAGCCACACACCTAAGGTGGCGGGTTTGAATCCAGCCCGGACCTGCCGAACAACAATGGCTGCAATCAAAAAATAGCCGGGTGTTGTGGCGGGCGCCTGTGGTCCCAGCTACTTGGGAGGCTGAGGCAGGAGACTCGCCTGAGCCCAGGAGTTGGAGGTTGCTGTGAGCAGTGAAGCCATGGCACTCTACCCAGGGGGACAGCTTGAGGCTCGGTCTCAAAAAAAAAAAAAAAAAAAACCAATATGATGCTAGTTGGGCTATGTTTTTTTGATCACCAATGACATAAGGGCACATTTCTTAGTTTACAGTAAAATGGAAGATGCCATCTTAAACAATTCTCTACCATTATGGTTCCTGTCTCAGAGCCAGTTTTACTTGGATAAAGATTTCCATTTTGACATTTAAGGCCTAAAAGTATTTCATGTAAGGAAAAGTGAGAAAGTACATGTAAAATCCATTTACCCATGTATGGAATTATCTGTAAAAAAACAATATTCATTCTCCCAGCCCTTCCCATCTCACAGTCTGATTCTGTATATTATGTGAAGGGAGAAGGCAAACCAAATGTGAAAGTCAGTTTTAATTAATCAAATACAGAGTTAACCTGTATTACATAACATATGAGAGTTGCTACTCTGCTTATAATGCCTTATTCCTGTTTATCACCACTGATAAACAGCAATACAGTCTTTAAGGAAAGCGTTTTGAGCCAGGGAGTGAGTCTTGGATTCAAATTCTGACTCTACCACTTATCACGTGATTTAACTCTAAACGTCAATTTTCTTATCAGTAAAATGGGGGTAATTTAAAAATCATGTAACTGTTCTAATAAAAAATGAAATAAAGTATACAAAGGTGCTTAGCACAGCATTTGGCACAGAAGAAGAGATCAATAATGGCATACACTGCCACCACTCCTGCTTCTGGCTGAACCAAGATAAGCCTCCTAAAACACAATGAGAGCTGAAAAGCACCTCCATAGGCTTGAAAATCTAAGCTTCTAATTGCTATCTCCTAAGGATGGCCCTTTCCTTTTCCCATTTATCAAATCATTTATTTTCCTTTTCCTACGTGTCAAACAAACAGATAACGTGGTACTATGGGGTAGTATCCTGCTGCACATAACCTTGAGAAAACAGCTTAATGATAAGGAATTATGTGGGCAGTCCCTGCCCAAGTTCTTAAGTCCTATGGCCACAATTTCTTTGACCATGTCATTCTTTTTTTTTTTTTTTTTTTACAGTCTCACTTTACTCGCCCTCAGTAGAGGGCTGGAGTCACAGTTCACAGCAACCTCCATCTCCTAGGCTTAGGCAATTATCTTGCCTCAGCCTCCTGAGTAGCTGGGGCTACAGGCACCCACCACAGCGCCCAGCTTTTTGTGTTGCAGTTTGGCTGGGGGTGGGTTCAAACATGCCACTCTCAGTATATGGGGCCAGCGCCTTGCCCACTGAGCCACAGGCGCCACCCTGACCATGTCATTCTAAAAGATCCAAGGTGATGCCTAGAACCAAATGGATCTAGTAGAAGACTCAAACTTAGAAGGGCTCCTCAAATCTTTGACCACCAGAATGCTATCAACACAATGGGAAAACCCATTCTATCACAGATCTAGACTGGAAAGGTAACACACCCAGCCTAAGGGGCAAACTAATCAAGGAAAACACATATCTACATACAATTAAAAAATAAGAAAGGGAGTGGTGCCTATAGCTCAAAGGAGTAGGGCGCCAGCCCCATACACTGGAGGTGGGAGGTTCAAACCCAGCCCCGGCCAAAAAAAACAAGAAAAAGAAAGGAGGCCATAAAGGGTGGCCCACACATAAAATCCTAAGGAGTTCAAGACCAGCCTGAACTAAAAATTTTTGAAAGGGCCCAGCACAGTGGCCAATGCCTATAATCCTAGCATTATGGGAGGCCAAGGCAGGTGGATTGCTTGAGCTCAGGAAAGCGAGACTCCTTCTCTAGAACTAGCTGGGTATTGTGGTAGGCGCCTATAGTCCCAGCTACTTAGGAGGCTGAGGCAGTATCACTTAAAGTCTAAGGTTGCTATGAGCGAGGCTGATACCATGGCACTCTAGCCTGGACAACCCAATAAGATTCTGTTTAAAAATAAAAATCAGGCTCGGCACCTGCCGAGCAACTAAGGCACCAGCCACATACACCTGAGCTGGCGGGTTCGAATCCAGCCTGGGCCCACCAAACAACAATGATGGCTGCAACCAAAAAACAGCCGGGTGTTGTGGTGGGCGCCTGTAGTCCCAGCTACTTGGGAGGCAGAGGCAGGAGAATCACTTGAGCCCAGGAGTTGCAGGTTGCTGTAAGCTGTGATGCCACAGCACTCTACCCAGGGTGACAGCTTGAGGCTCTATCTCAAAAAAAATAATAATAAAAACAAAAAGGGACAAATCCAAAGACTCTCAGATTTGTATTTTCCTCAGTTTCGCAAATTTCCCTTCAATTGTCACATAATATTTGTACTTAATAAAATACTACAAAGCCATTTACACAAAATTTACTCCTAATTCGTCCTGAGGGAAAAGATAATACAATCTGCTCTGGAAGCAAAAAGATAATTCATTCTATAATCCTTCCTCCATAAACAGAACCAAATTATCCCCCCCCCAATTTAAAAATTTATTTTAAATCCACAAATTAAAAACATCCATAACAACACACATTCAAGTGAAATCACAAGAACCACTGCAAGGAATTTAGATGAGTGAATAAAGAGGAAAAAAGCTAAACTTCAAAGGGGAATTTTGATTATGTGGAATATAATGAAGAAGAAATATAACGAAACAGCTGACTTAGCAGACAGTGAAAAGCATCTGTCCCTTCTTTCAAAGGTTTCTTTTTATAGCTCAAATTATTTGCTTACCAGGATTACAGTTGCAATCTAAAGGCCCTGAGCTAGTTAGAAATACAGGCTTTCTAAAACCAATCAAAGACAGCTGGAAACAAGGAGGAATAGACACCACTAACAACCCAGTAAAAGACTTAGAGAATAGAACCAAGAGTTTAAAAGGGTAGAAAATAATAAATGTACAGGGCAAACAAAGCAGACCTAACATAAAGATAATGATTGTCACTTAATAGAACAAAATGTAACAGAAAAAAGTTAAACATATAATTTTTTAAAATTTCTAGAAATAAAAGATTTAAATCACTAAACTATAAGAATTCAACCATTTCTATACGTCCTAATAAACTTAATGAAGTTGGAAGATTAAAAAATCCTTCAGGCTCAGTGCCCATAGCACAATGGTTACAGCACTGGCCACATACACCAAGGCCGGTGGGTTTGAAACCGGCCCAGGGCCTGCTAAATGACGAGAACTGCAACCAAAAAATAGCCGGGCGTTAAGGTGGGCGCCTGTAGTCCCAGCTACTCAGGAGGGTAAGGCAAGAGAATCACCTAAGCCCCAGGAGTTGGAGGTTGCTGTGAGCTGTGACACCACAGCACTCTACTAAAGCCGATAAAGTGAGACTCTGTCTCAAAAAAAAAACCAAACAATTTTATACCGGGCTAAACTGTTATTCAAAAAATAAATACAACAGACAGATATTTTAGAAATACAATATAACACAAGGAATAATTCCCATCATTCACCCTTACTGAGAAGACCATGAAAAGATGAACTATAAGGAAATAAGAGATGAATGGAGAAACTAAAAGAGCAGTAAATTCATTCAGCTCTCAGAATATACTCAAA